AATTTTATTATTTCAAAACCTGATCATATGCCACTGTTTAGCCACAGAATTCCGAGAAAAACTAACCACCATATAAATAGTTTCCTCCAGACGTACAACTTAAAAATCGTGTTTAAGTTCATTTAATAATCGTCAACAGAAACATGTTGCACGCCTTATTAATTTTAAGGATCAATTTACTCATGCCAAGCTTCTATTAATTGAAATGAAAGTCTTAAATATATATGAGCTTAATATTTTTAATGTTATATGTTTTATGTTTAAATGTAAAAACAATATTTCTCCAGTACTTTTTCATAATTTGTATAACAAAAAAGAAAAAACTAAGTACATTTTACGAAATGATAATAATATTCGTCAATCAGCTTATTAAACTAATTCTGGAAAATACTGTATTTCATTTCGAAGAGCATTACTTTGGAATAAAATAGTTTTAAAGAATTTTGACTTTTCTCAAGAAGTTAGCTATCACTCTTTCAAACAAAAACTTAAAAAAGTCATTTTTTTATTAGATGATATATCTATATTCTTTTAATTTTTTGTTTCTTTTTTTAACTTTATATTTAACACTGCCTTAATAAATTTTATAATTTAACAATTTGTAAATAGTTGTTTAACACTTTTGTTAAAGATATCTTAAAACTGTATAACAAAACCTTTAACAAAAAGTTTAACAATTGTGCTAAAGATATCTTAAAACTGTATAACGCATCTATGTATTTATAACGGAACCGTTTTTCTTTTTCTTTTTTTCTTTAAATTTGTTTATGTTTTCAATTCTTAATTCTTAATTATTTGTTATCTTCAAGTATGTTAAGTATATATTCCTATTGAAAGTTTATTTATTTTGAGAATATTTTATTAATACGAAATATTAACACAAAAATTTTTTAGCGGTTCTAGACGACAAGACCTTACGGTCTTCTACGAGTTCCCGCGTTCTTTTATTTCTTAATAACGATCATGTATATATATATATATATATATATATATATATATATATATATATATATATATATATATATATATATTATATATATATATATATATATATATATATATATATATATATGTATATACATTGTTAACGAATATTTATTAAATCACAAAGTTGTAAAATTAAAAAACAAAATCAAAAAAAAAAAAAAAAAAAAAAAAAAATTCTGTTTTAAATTTTCTGTTCAAAATTAAAATAAAGGTATTTAAAATCGAAAAAATGTTTTATTTTGTCTAAGATATTGCGAAGATTCAAAAAGTTGTACAGTAGAGTATATACTAACATTTGGAGTCGGTGTCACACCGAAAATGTATTTTTTTATCAGAAAATTTATTTAGAAAGGTTTCCTCTATATTTTAAACAATGTAATTTAAAATAAGTGGTGGTAAAAATAAAATTCGTTCAAATAATGACAAACGTTATAAAAATAATTTGTTTTTTTTCTCTGCTACACAATCGCGAATTATTAATCTATCATAAGATAGGTAGCCAAACCTTCCAGCCACTTGTTCAACTTTCATTATCTCCAATAAACCCTTTCTGATTTACATTGTTTCCAATATCCTCGTTTATATAAACGTTTTTTCCTTTTTAATTACCTGTTTTGCTTAAATTACAAATTTATATTTAAAATCTAAAATTTTTATCACAATTGTTTTTGGATATATAGCTTCGAAGTAAATTCCAAAATTTTAAATATCTCAATGTAAAGTTTTTAATTAAAGTGGAAAAGTTGACAAACTTCTATGAGGAGATAATGAAATGTTAATGCTTACTTCATTAGGCCAGATTAAAGAACATTTGCTAATTATGTCCTCAAATTAACTAAAAATAACACAAATTTAATTCTGAATTAATTAATTTATAATTAAAAAAAAAAATTGGTAGAGTTTAATTTAGATATTCAAAAGGACTTTATTGCATCGACCCACAATGACGCAGCGGTAATGATCAAGTATGGAAAAAAATTAGGTACCATTAGCCAGCTCTGCTATGAGCATTGTCGTAATCAATAGCTTTTAAAAGATAATAAGAATTAAAAAATTATTAATCATATTAACAACACAAATGATGATGGTTATTTTGACAATGTTGATTTCGTTGAATCTTTAATTTCCTTTAACTTTCAAGGCATGTACCGGAAAAAATCTGCACGTGTTTTGAAGTGGTGTTTACGGAAAGCGTGCGTCATTTTAATTAGCTAATTGTTTTAAAATTATTATTATTATTTATTCAAAATTTAAACAACTCTGTTATTATTAGTATTAGTCTTATTCAAAATTTAAACAACTCTGTTATCAAAACAATTGTTTCAATTGAAATATCATCAAATCAAGATAGAAAGCAAGAAAAATTTTTGCATTTTCTTGTTGGAAATCATGTTGTATCAATCAAAACAATTTCTAAAGAGTTGCAAATTGCTTTGAGAACAGTGCAGAGCGTCGTCAAACGATTTAAGAACACTGGTACAATCAAAAGAAAATTAGGAATTGGAAGAAAAAAATGTTTTGTTAAACAAGATCTTGGTAAAAAAGTGAAAGATGCTTTAGAAAGAAAACCGGAGATTTCTGTTCGAACCTTAGCAAGTAAATTTAAGAAAGTGCTTCCACTATATAAACAGTAAAAAAAATTTTGGTTTTAAATCTTACAAAAAGAAAAAAGTTCCTTGTCGTGAAGAGAAGCAAGAAAATGTCACAGTTTGTTGCTCAAAGCTGCTATATAAAAAATTAAGTTCTAAAAAATCTTGTTTAATTATTGACGATGAAACTTATTTTGTTGCATATTTCAGATCTCTTCTAGGACGCCAATATTATTCAGTAACTAATCGCAAGAAACTGAATTCCAATTATAAATGCATTGGAGTTAAAAAATTCGATAAAATTTCTTAGTTTGGCAAGCAATTTGTGAATGTGGTAAAAGAAACACTTGTTTTGTGACTATGGCAACAATTAACACAAATTTATACATAAAAAAAAGCCTCAAGAAACGTCTTTTGCCTTTTTTAAGAACACTCGCGGGTAACCCGTTATTTTGGCCCAAATAAGAATCATGTCACTACTCTGGGACAACTTTAAACTGGCTTAAAGAACATAAAGTAGATTTCGTTGAAAAACACTACAATCCACCAAATTGTCCCAAACTACGTCCTATCGAAAGATATTGGGTTCTTGACAAAAGAAAACTTAGGTTTAATGTAAAAATAGCCAAAAACATTAAAGACTTCAAAAATAAATGGGTTAGAGATACCAAGAAAGTCTAGCTAAAGACTATGCAAAAGCTGATGTTGAGTGTTAAACGCAAAGTGCTTCGTTTTCATGTACAAAACTTCACAAACTTTCTTAAATGAAATTTAAGAATAATTATATATGTACTTTCAAAATATTTATAACATTCAATATTGAAATACAATAATTAAATAAATATCCTTTAAAATATCCGCGCAGATTTTTTCTGGTACATGTCTTCTATAACTTTAAAAGTCGCATAAAATTTTAATGATAAGTTATTATTGTTAACATTCTTAACCCAGTGGGCATGCGTCGTCCGGGGGACGTCCGTTGGACGTCTTACGGACATCTGGACGTCCATGAGACGTCCAGCAGACGTCCTCCAGACGACGCTTGCCCACTGGGAAGAACCTCCAAAAAGCCGTTACTCCTTTGCAAAAATATGAATACTTTATTCTCAATTTTCATGATGAAATACGAGAATAAAGCACTCACTTTATTGTAAAGAAATAGCGATTATTCGTAGATTGTTAAGAATATTAGCAATAATGGTAAAATGTCTATTTGGTAGACCAGAGTTTCTAGTAAAAATAATTCCAATTAGTCGCTTAGATTTGTCGCTTAGATTTTCTTTTTAAATAATACAAAACATTAATTGAAACAGGTAACAATTATTTCAACGCAAACTGATATCAGTTATTACTAAAGCAAATAAGGGCAATCAAAAGTTTTTTAAAATGATGAACAAAATTGAAGAAAAACCATGATGTGGAGGTAATGAAAACACACTTTTGTTATTTGATAACGTTCACGTCACGTATTCGTATAATTGGTTAAGATTAGAAAATAGGATAAAATAGTTTTCGCTTTGATAGTAACAAACTTCTTTCTATACTTGTGAAATTTTGAAAAATTTATAACATGAAAAGTCTGCAGATATTCTTTACAAAGATACCGTGCAGTTTATAGATTATACAAATATAAAAGTCTTCTGAATGAAATCCTCATGTGTGTACAATATTAATAAAAATTGCAAAGTATCAAAACTGATCTATTAGAGAAAACTTTTATGAAGCCAGTCAGGCTTGTCAAGGTTTTGGAGGAACATATTTTATTACTGTTAAGTCTGTCATAAAAAAAAGTTGAATTTCAACTTGAAAAATTTTTCACAGTTAGAAAATGGTATATAGGATGGTTCACAAGTGATTCATAACTAAGCATTTTGCAAGCTTTTCCTCGGATTTCGATGAACCTATATTGTTACTACTACTAATTCAGTCATTGAAAAAAATGAATACACCTAAAAAAACCTTTTCTACAGTAAGAAATGGATATTTTTGGTGGTTGTGCCAACGATCATTCCTGTAATAATTGTTTTCAGGTTTTAATGACCAGAAATGCAAAAATTAAATAACCTGTTAAAACTCAAGGAAAAAGTAGGAACGGAAAAAAAAAAGTTCATTACTTTTAATTTTAAATATTGCTTGTAAAGTTAAAAGAAAAAATGGCAAACGATACACAGCTCTGCTATAAAAAAACTTGCTACCTAAATTGATGACCTGAATGGTGGAGGTCTCGTTGTTCCTTTTGACAATAGTTTTCAGTGGTACATAGTACTAAATTCGACGGCTATTTATTGAACTTATAGTTTGATTAATTTTTTTTCAACATAAATAAAAACACTGCTATATTATTTAATAATATTGAACTTTTAAACGTGCAAGAGTACTCACACTATTATTATATTATACTAATACAATAATAAATTACAAAATATTAAACTGTTTGAATTTCTAAAAAACGTTGTTTCAAAATCGAATGTTTCATTGTCTTGAACAGCTCAACATTGCCATGGCTTAAAATCTTTGAGTTGATGAAGTGGAGTTGGCTGTTGAACCCATTGAATGGCTTGAGAAACCGTAACAAAGTATACATCAGGCAAGTTTAAAATTTCCCTTAAAAACTTCATAAAACCTGAAGAAAAGAATGAATAAAAATGCTCAACAATAAGTATTATGGCGTTTTTAAATTGGGTTATACATATATAATGCATAGATGACAAAAATATTTCAACATTTATGACTAATATGGTTGAACTAATAAAGATGAAATAGTCAAATATGAAGATATCGGATAGTAGGTGGAACAGATTTATACATTTAAAGATGTGTTTATTTTTATTGGGCACACTAAACATAATAACTTAACGTTTCTACGTACATAAAATTTTTTTATAAAAATAAAATTTTTTATAAAGATAAAATTTGCCTGCTTTCGAAAATACCTACCTTCAATTCTCCACGTGTAAGAAGGATGATCAAAAAAAGCACCATGGCCAAATGCAGTGAACGGTTGCTTTCTATCTTTGTAAAATTTTCTAAAATTGTCCATAAATAATTTATAAACAGAATCAGAGTCTCCATCAACCAGACTTCTAAAACATGCGTCAAAGTATGAACAAGTGTAAGAAGTAGTTCCATCGTCCCATTGGTTTAATGGAACTTCCCACAATCCAGGATATGAATCTGAAAGTTGAGAGCTGATTTAGTATTTTACTCGGAATTTAAACTCTAGCAATTACTTAAAACAAAGTTGCGACAAAAAAATGTTTTTGGTAATAAAAATACTCCATCTGAATTAAAGATTTTTAGCCACTTACTCCTTTGTTACTGTATTATATGTAAAAACTTACTACGTGGACAATTCGGGCAAAGATCTGGAAGATTTTTGTTCAGATAATCCATGGTGTACGGCCACCATCTTTGCCCTTTAACAAGAGATATGGAGCTTGAATATAAAAACCCGCGATTGGAAAGAATTTTGTATGTATTTTCTCCTATAGCAAGAAAAGGACTTCTCCATCCTTTGACATCTGAAACGCCAATCTTCTCAATGTTTTGCTTTTGACCAGATATCTCTAAATCAAGCTCTTCGTAGGTTGACTAAAAAGTATATATATATATATACTTTTTAGTCAACCATACTAAAAAGTATATATATATATAAATATATATATATATATATATATATATATATATATATATATATATATATATATTATATATATATATATATATATATATATATATATATATATATATATATATATATATATATATATATATATATATATATATATATATATATATATATATACTAGTATATATATATATATTAGGGTGGGTAAAAAAAAAATTTTTCTTGTTACAGGCTTTAAACATTACTAATAATTATTAATATTGATACTATCAAATATGAGAATGATTGTGATAGATTTAAAGGGCGCAACGTTATTGGGAAACTTACCGGAACCTTAATATTTTGGAGAAAAAAAAGTTTTTCAAAAGTAGGTCAACCTGGTACACAAAAGAAGCGAAATTAAAAAAAAAATTCGAAAATAATAATCGCTTTATTTACATCATATTGAAAAAAAAAATTGTTATTAAAAACATGTAAAAATGCACCCTTCTCACTTTTAGTTGAAAAAAAAATTTTTTGACCCACCCTAATATAGATATATATATATATATATATATATATATATATATATATATATATATATATATATATATATATATATATATATATGTATATATATATATATATATATATATATATATATATATATATATATATATATACATATATATATATCATCAGCCATATGACTGATAAATGTCATTAAAATTAAAACTTGGAACTCATCAGCTGATTTAAGGTGTAAGGTTATAAATATTTTGTTATTAAAACAATAGTTTTAACTAATAAAATAAAAATATAAGTGTTTTTTCCACAGAAAACTGTAAAGTTTTATATATTCTAAGTAAAAATTACTGTTTTCCACCAGGTATCAGGTGTTCTGTCAGTGAGTGAATGATCGGCAATCTCATGACCTATAAACGAATTAAATATCTATACATTCATGCCATAGGCGCCCGCAAAAAATTTTCTAAGGGGGGGGGGGCAAAACATTTTTTGTTATTGCTTTTTTTCCTGTTATCTATTATGTAAAAATCAAGATATGTAAGATATAAAATAAAGAAAAGAAAAAAATTATATCTCCGTGGAAAAAAGAAAACAATTTAACTTGTAAGCACCGTTTTGAAAATGTAGTGTGTAAACTACGAAACATGCTAAGATTGAAAAGTATCGTGTTTTTCATACAAATGAGCAGTTAATTATTTCGGATAAAATTTAATTAGGTTTTTTCCGAAACTGTAACGAAGTATCACTAAAAGATATTTTTTTACAGAAAAATTTAGTAACAAACTTTATGGCATGAAGAGCGTTACAAACAAGAAAATTTTTTTCTATATTTAGAAAGTACAGGGATGGGGGGGGGGGGGGTAAATCCCCCTTCTTGCCCCCCCTTGGGGGCGCCCATGATTCATGTATTTATTTATACAGATATATATATATATATATATATATATATATATATATATATATATATATATATATATATATATATATATATATATATACATATATATGTATATATATATATATATATATATATATATATATATATATATATATATATAGATATATATATATATATATATATATATATATATATATATATATATATATATATATATATATATATATATATATATATATATATATATATATATATATATATATATATATATATATAAATATATATATAAAAAGCATTGGAAAACAATATCAATTAAAAAGCATGAGAAAAACCTCTGCTCCTCAAAGATCGCTATTTAGTTTACTGCACGGAGTGCAAGCATTACTTCTTAACAATACTAAAATGATTTTTAATAATAAGCAATGTATAACATAAAACGTAGACATTAAAACGGGGATAAATAAAATTTTCTTCTTTTTGGTATAATATTAAATAAATTCTTAACGTATGTCTTATTACTAAATTACATAAAACAAATCTCCTGGCTAGATTTGCTCAATTGGTTAGAGCGTCAAACTAAAAGTTGAAAAACCTGGACTATTGAACGATACCATTTCAAATCTTGCTACCGCCAACCCAGCGCGAGTAGTACTTCGATACGCTAAACTGATACTGAGTAGTAATTCGGTACGCTAAAATGTTAGTCAATAACGGACGCTACTTTGGATTATTCCTAATGACTATTTGTGGGTGTTCCTATACTAAGCCAACAATAGCTTCGGATATAAGAACATTGTATAAAAAAATATAGTATGAAAAAAAAAAAAAAATGAAAAAAAAAATTCATCAATTAAAGACTAAATTCATGTATAACTCAAATTTAAATCTTGTAGTCTTTTATTCAGAACGTGTATACAAATAGTAATAAAAGTTATCAAATATTTTTACCGCTTTTTAACTTTTACTGCCATTAACTTTTAGATAAAATATATATATATATATATATATATATATATATATATATATATTTATATATATATATATATATATATATATATATATATATATATATATATATATATATATATATATATATATATATATATATATATATATATACTTATATATATATATATAAAAAAAGTTATCAAATATTTTTACCGCTTTTTATCTTTTACTGCCATTAATTTTTAGATAAAATATATATATATATATATATATATATATATATATATATATATATATATATATATATATATATATATATATATATATATATATATATATTAGGGTGGTCCTTAAAACAAATTTTTTGAGAAAAACCTGCTGGTACCCCCCTAAATGTGTTTTATCTAATACAAAAACACTAGGTTTAAAATTTTTTTGAACAAAAAATATTTTTAGGGGTAGCTCAAGGCCCTCAAAAATTTGACGGGTCCCTAATATTTTGAAAAAAAAACTTTTTCTAAAGTATGTCAATCTGGTACTCAAAATAAGCAAAATTATATAAAAAATTTAAAAATGAAAATAATTTTTTATAAAAATAATTTTTTCAGGTATAAATGCATAAAAACTATTGTTTTTAAGCTGAAAATAAAAAAAGTCAAAATTTTCAGGTTTTTTCAGAATAATTTTTTTTAGGCATGTTTTTTATGTAAAATGATTATTATTTTTGAAGTTTTTATATAATATCGCTTCTTTTGAGTACCAGGTTGACATACTTTAGAAAAAGTTTTTTTTTCAAAATATTAGAACCCGTCAAATTTTTGAGGGCCTTGAGCTACCCCTAAAAATAATTTTTGTTCAAAAAAATTTTAAACCTAGTGTTTTTGTATTAGATAAAACACATTTAGGGGGTACCAGCAGATTTTTCTCAAAAAAGTTGTTTTAAGGACCACCCTAATATATATATATATATATATATATATATATATAAAGTTATCAAATATTTTTACCGCTTTTTATCTTTTACTGCCATTAACTTTTAGATAAAATATATATATATATATATATATATATATATATATATATATATATATATATATATATATATATATATATATATATATATATATATATATACTTATATATATATATATATATAAAGTTATCAAATATTTTTACCTCTTTTTATCTTTTACTGCCATTAACTTTTAGATAATATATATATATATATATATATATATATATATATATATATATATATATATATATATATATATATATATATATATTTATATATATATATATATATATGTATATATATATATATATATATATATATATATACATATATATATATATATATATATATATATATATATATATATATATATATATATATATATATATATATATATATTTATATATATATATATAGATATATATATATATATATATATATATATATATATATATATATGTGTGTATATATATAAATATATATATATATATATATATATATATATATATATATATATATATATATATATATATATATTTATATATATATATATATATATATATATATATATATGTGTGTGTGTGTATATATATATATATATATATAAATATGTTAGTATATTCTATATATATAAATATGTTAGTGTATTCTATAAATATAATCTTCTATAATAAATTAGTAAAAACTTATATCAATTTAATTATTTGACAAACTGTTTCTCCTTTTGTATCTGACTTTTTTTTTTTTCTTTTATCTTCCTCATGGATATACAGAAGGAGAAACACTCTGTCGAAGAAAAAATTGTTTTTTTAATAATTTGTACTTACCATTATCATGCAAACTTTTAACGTTTTCGTATATTGTATTTGCATGTGTAACAAAAAAAGTAGCTCTTATAGGACATCCATTCGGATTTTTATAAATATTATTTAGAAATGGCTTGTAAATATTAAAGTTGCTATCTCTTACGCCACCGTCAAATGTTAAAACAACAATTTGAGGAGTTTGATCGATGGTTAACCCTCCTGGAATGTCTTCACCACCGCAACGACATTTAGGAAGAACGCATTTTGAAAAGTCACAAAATGTTGCTGCATCTAAAAATATTAAATTTGTGTAATTATAATCATATGTTATCATTTATAACTCATTAATATTGTACTTGTTTTAAAAAATAAACAAAATTAGGTTTTTTTACTTTAGGCGTTTTTTACAGGGTTGAAAATTTCCGGAAAATATCAACTTGGGAATCAACATTTTGACTACGAATTTTTCCGGAAAGTTAAGGGAATTTATCCGAAAATTTTGGAAATTTTAAAATATTTTAAAAAAGATGTTATTTTATAATTAACTGGTAAAAATATTTGGCCTTATTTAGGCAGTTGTTATGGACAATTTTATGGTAAAATATTGTGAAGTAGATTACAAAAAAGTATATATATTTTTTTTAAATTTAATATTTTTTTTTTGTTCTTTCTTTAAATGTTTGTTATATATAATTAAATGTTGTTAATATAGCAATGGATAATAATACAATATTAGTCGGTTTACAATTATAATAATTTCAATAATATAATAGAATGGTTACAAGATTAATTAAGTTTGTAAGAGGAAGAACGCCGGATATCGTTAAAGACCTTCAGGTGTTGTCGTCAAGAACCGCTTTGTTTTTAAACTATATCGTTACATTTATTGTGTTAAATATATATATATATTCTCGTCGAAAGTAAATATATAAATATAAATAAACGTAAAAGATATATCACATTCATATGTGTGAATACTTAGAACTGAAATTTAAAATTTTTTCTTTATAAAAATTAAAAATATAAGAGTATGTTATATATAGATAAAATAATCTAAGTTTTCTTTTGAATGTGTCGTAATTCCACTCAATAAAATTTTACTCAATAAAATCAAAATGTTTCAAAACTACTTTGTTCCATAAAAAAGCTCGTCTATAAGAGATACAAGATCTATCAAAATATGCATGCAAAAAAGGTTTTTGGATAAAATTTTCATTTCGAAGCTAGTATTTGTTAGTAACTTTAGCTCTCCTAATTTCAGTATTATCAATATACAAGTAAGATTTATTCGAAAGTAGGTTTTTTATTGGTACAAGAAGGTTCATTTAGTTTTTTTGATATTTAATGATAGTTTATTTGACATAAACTAGTTAGATATTTTAATGAGTTCACTATTCATTTTGTTGAAGAATGTTGGATACTTATTGTCATATAAAAAAAGATTTGTTTCTTTGGCAAACATAATTGTTGTCAAATTTGATGCTTTATAGAGATCATTAACATAAATTAAAAAAATTGATTTTTATTGAAGCTGGGTAAAAGAAGGTCCATTTAGTTTTTTTTTTTGATATTTAATGATAGATTATTTGACATAAACCAGTTAGAAATTTTAATGAGTTCACTATTCATTTTGTTGAATAATGTTGGTTAGTTATTGTCAAATAAAAAAAGGTTTGTTTCATCGGCAAACATAATTGTTGTCAAATTTGATGCTTTATAGAGATAATTAACATAAACTAAAAAAAGCGAAAGTGCTAGTATGGATCCTTGTGGAACTCCGCATGATATATTTAATAAATTTAAACATATATTTTTATAATAATAATACATTCCCTGTGATTTCATAGAGTTGTAGTTTTTTAAAAAGAACTTCGTAATCAATAGTGTCAAAAGCTTTTAATAAGTCAATGAAGATAGCTAGAGTATATTGTGATTTTTCAAATGAATTTGCAATATTTTTAGTAAGTAGAAGTACTGCATGTTCAGCAGAATCATTTTTTTTTGAATCCAAATTGATTGTTGTATAATATATTATTTATAGTTAGATAATTATATACTCTACTGTACAAAATTCTTTTCAAGATTTTTGAAAAAGCAGGGAGATCTGAAATTGGGCAATAGTTAGTAGTTAGTTCACCTCCTTTAAAGATTTGAGTAGTTTGAGAGCATCTGGAAATATTGCTTTTTTAATTGAGTTACTAAAAATTTAAAAAAGAATATTTTTAATGATGTCATAGGAACCAATAATACCAATTCCATTAATATCGTCTGGTCTGCTTTATTAAGTTTAATCATCTGGTCTTGTCCGCTTTATTAAGTTTAATCGTTTTGTAGGACAATTTAAATTCTTCAAATGTTGTTTCATAAATATATAGAGAAGAATTTGAAGAAGAGGGAGCGGCACTTGCTAAATTAGTGACAATATATGTAGCTAAGTATGGTCCAACTGATACAAAGTATTAATTTTGTTTGCTCTTCTAATAGGATAATTTAAGAGTTCCCCATTTAATTCAATAACTTTTGGCAGAGAGCACATTTTTATTTTATGATTACTGATGTTTTCATTTATAAATTTTCATGTTTTTCTATAATAATTTTTGTATTTTTCAAATAGTCATATATTCTACAACTATGTTATACAACTAGGTCATATATTCTACAATTATGTTTAAATAAGTGCTTTTAAGACTTGAGTCTCACTCATCTCAACCTTGGCCTTTTGACTTTATAAGTTAATAAATCGAAAAATAAGAGTTGGAGGGGGGGGGAAGGGGGGGGGGGAACCCGTAAAAAGTATAGTCTGGTTTCTTTAAAGTTAAAGTACAAAAAGACCCTTAAAAACTAAAATTCATCCGACTGGATTGTGTCAAATACCCGACTAGACGACTAAATTTGTCAAAAAACTGACTATAACTTGAAAATCACTTTTTTGGTGAGGGTAGAACACCGCTTTCCCCACACACTCTCCCCGTAAAATTTTCTTTGTATGCAATCTTTACACATAAAAAAATCTTTGCTTCTTTAAAACACTCTACAAAAATAATTAAACTTAAAAATCTGAAAAAAATTTATTCATTGTATTTTATGAATATTTTACATCGTAGGTGAGAAAAGTAAAAGCTAGAAGTGTGTTATAAACAATCTCAATAGACAAGCTAGCTTGTCTATTGAGATTGTTTATAAAGCATCTACTTTTTGTTGCTTCACAAAAGTAATGTATAATAACTTGAGCGTTTTATTGCTTTTTTTTTAAAAAAATGCGCGATTATTAAATTGACTAAAAATTCGACTCAAAGATGTGCATTAATCGCTTGTGGGTTTATAATACTTTATCTTTTTTGTTGAAATATTTAATGTTAAAACGCATTTTTTTGAAACAAAAAAATGAATTATATAAAACAATATAACAGCTTTAACTTTAATGCAATAAAAAAATTTTTATAATTTCCGGAAGTTTGAGCAAAATTTCTTTCAAGGTTTACGGGAATTTTTAAACCGTAGTTTATTATGACAGCTTTATTTAAGACGGCTTAATTATTTACTAAAAACAATTTGTAATTTTTTTAAGTTATAGCACATGGTTTTTGGTCGATAGGCCACAAACCAAGGCTATGTATTAGAGCTGAAAATGCTTATATAAATTATTATATAACATATAGTTTATTATATAATGTTTTCATAAAAAACTTGTAAGTTGCAATTTTTGAGTTGGTAAGAAAAACCTGAGTTTATGAGTAAGCTAGTCAAACCCAGCTTACTTTTTGTAGTACTTTTTTTTTTCATTTTAACTCACCTTCCCAATGCTGAGAAGGCTACTGCAAACGAGGAAGCTACTTATTTGTGGTTATTACCCTCTCTCAATTCTTTAACTCCTAAACACCCCAGCGGGCACACGACGTTATTTCTACGTTGATTTACAGTTGATTTTTAGTCGCGACGTCGTATAACCAAAAATCAACGTTGTATCAACGTTGAAAAATTTGTTTAAAACTATTAAATAAAATCGACGTTGATTCCACGTTAATTCAACGTCTATTACGAGTTCAACCGTTCGTAATTGCAATATGAGAACTAAAATACGAATGCGTGACTTGAAAATTTTTTTATTAACATAACAAAGACTTAACGGTGAGCGAAAGATACTATGACTCTAAATGAGGGTTTGATTTTTCAAAAAATGAAGACCAGATATATTACTGAATTGGGGAGAAATGTGGGAGAGTGCTTCTGCATTGACTAATTTAGGGATAACATGCGAGGGAATGCTGCTACATCGACTGAGGGTTTGGGTTAAGACAGGTATAGATCAATCGATGTAGCAGCACTCTCTTAAATTTCTCCTCAAACCAGTAATATATCTGGTCTTCGTTTTTAAAAAAAATCAAAACCTCATTTTGAGTCATAGTATCTTTCGCTTACCAGACCTAACAAGTTATTTATTAGCCCAATAAAAACAAGTAAAGTCACATATGCTAATAAATAGGCCATCTGTTGCCTTTTTATAAGGTTTTCAATTTGACAATTTAACAATAACACATGGCTTAACTTGTGATGCAGTTAGTTAGGTAAATATTAAATAGATATTTCTGTATGACCGTATTATTTCATTAGTGTGGATTTCAAGTAGAGATTACTTGAATTATTTTTACAGTTTTTTAAGTAAGTTTTTTTTAGAATTTGATTAAACTGTTTTACTATGTAGGTTAGTATATTTGACTATACTAGTTTGTATATACATATATATATATATATATATATATATATATATATATATATATATATATATATATATATATATATATATATATATATATATATATATATATATATATATATATATATATATGTATATATATATATATACGTATATATATATATATATAAATATATATATATATATATATATATATATATATATATATATATATATATATATATATATATATATATATATATATACATTGTAGTTGTTATTATTATTGTCAGATATACAAATTTTAGTCCATGTAATTGATCTAGGGTAAGCCAGATTCATTGTGGGAGAGAAAAAATCTTTAAAATTTTATGATTTTATTCCAAAAATATCAACTTGTATATATATATATATATATATATATATATATATATATATATATATATATATATATATATATATATATATATATATATATATATATATATATATATATATATACATGTATATATATATATATATATATATATATATATATATATATATATATATACATGTATATATATATATATATATATATATATATATATATATATAT